CCGCAAGTCCCACAGAACCCAGGTTTGGGAGGGTGCAGAGGAAGGGAAATCAGGTCAGGTTAGTGCGTGCTTCTGGTAGTTTGGGGGATGTGGCTGACATGCAGGGCTTGGGCTGCTGTTGGTGTTCATAAGGCCCGAAGGGCTTTGTATGATGATCTCTGAGTGGAAGGCATCTGGTTTAATATATCTGGTTGGGGGGGCCACTGGGCAATTGTTCTATCTTGCAGTTTTCAGGGAGCGTGGTGGAGGGGGTGAGAGCCACACCTCACTGATGCCTTTCTCAGGAGCCAAGGAGTCCGAGGCTGAGAGGCCAACAAGACTGGTGCACCTGTCCTATAGCATATTCTAGTCTACATGTGCTCTCGCTGTCCTACACCAAGAACGGGAAGAGAAAGTGGCTCCTCTTCTCAGCCTCCTCCCATTTCTGGAAAGACCTACATGGACCTTTTCTTTCTTAATATCTCCAGAATGTGTATCAGCCACCACAAGGGCATTGAGAAGTGAGCTGCTTGGGCTCTCATTAGCTTCTTTCTTTTACTCTGGAATTGGTATGCGGTATAGTGTAAACAAGAAGCTCTCTTTGGGTAAAATGAGCTTTGTTTTATTTTAAACTTAACATATTATGGTTGTTTATTTTATAATTCATAAACATTAAAATGTATTCTTTTTGGTGTCCAGATTGACGGATTTTGACAGACGTCTGGAGTTGTGTCACCACTGCCACAATCAAGATACAGAAAGATGCCACCTGCCCTTTTGTACGTTTAATCTTTTAACATAAATTACATTTTTTATTTATTCTTAGGCACTTGAACCATATCAATTCGGTGACTCTTAAAATTTTTTTTTTTTACATTTTGGAAAGATGAACCAGTCATCCTCTCTAGTACCAGCATGAGAGATCATTTTTACTGTGGGCCCACCATGAATCAAACAGCCCCGTAACAGGACCACGGATACTGTCTGTGTCCAGCAGGATTAAGACTGCCCTTTGATCTCACTCTTTGCTGACATCCACTCATCCTCATAAAATAGTTATTGGTTTCCTCACCATTTTTACTGTTCTTTACATGCGTTCAAACAACTCTTAAAACACGGTGTCCAGAATTAAATGCAGTGCCCCAGACAGTGTTATTATACCCCTGGGCCTGGCCAGCAACCAGTTTCCTCCTTCTAGAGTTGGCCTGCTACTGCAGTGGCATTTTCTTGGTTTGGTTTTGTTTTTTGACCATAATTCATTGTTTACTGACAATGAGTATCTGGTCCATTAAATTTCAAAAAATTAACACATGGCCGCTAATTCAGTTAGTCCTTATCTTATGCATGTGGCATTGGGATTTTCGCTTCTAGGTAAAGGTGTTTGTATTTACCCTTTTTTATTTATGTTTTCTCTTTTTTAAAAGTTTATTTGTTTAAAATACCTGTACTGAACATGGGGCTATAACTCATGACCCCAAGATCAAGAGGTGCATGCTCTTCCGGCTTTAGTCAGCCACGTGCCCCATACCCTTATTCAAATTTTCAGTGTGAAGTTTGGCCAAAGTTCCAGCCTTTGAAGATGGCTAAAACCTTCTTCCTGTGACATTATGCATCTGCTCTCCTTGCCCAATTCTCCCTTAGGGTTGGAAGATTACCAGGCATTTCTCGCTCACAGTCTTGTCAGCCTCACACCCTTCGTGAATCTTAATGCTCCCCCTTGGCCCATTTTCTCATTTGCTCATATCTCTGTAAAGGTGAAAGAGACCACAGCTGGAGTCACCTAAAGGACGTGATGAGACAGGAAGCAAACCCAGTGGGTGCCTGCAGCTCCATTGATGAGTTCCTGGGGGTTGGCCGGGTACTGACAGCTGGGTTTTATCTAAAAAAGTAAATTGAGGGACTAGGAAAAAAACTGGCTCGTGATTGGGACTATTACCTTAGTATGACATATTAGACGAGTCACAGAAGGAACATGATCTGGTTTTCAAAGATAAAAGGAACAATCAACAATATTTCATTAGTACACAGTGAGCTCCATTAAAAGGGGGATGAAGAGTAGATTGGATTAAATGATGATTCTGTGTTTCACCCTTACTAAGAATGCAGAGAAGTTTTTTTTTTTTTTTTTTTTTTTTCATTTTATAGGACTTATTTCTGGGGCATTCCTGGGATCATGACTGAGCTGAACGCAGATGCTTAACCGGCTGAGCCACCCAGGCGTTCCTCTTGAAACAAATTTTAAAACCCACAATACAGTATTATATTTACTGTATTGCTTTTACTATAGGCACAATTTTGTAGCAGATTTTTGGAATGTCTTGATCCCGCATAACTGAAACTATCTACTACTATTCCTGTAATTTAAGATTTTTTTGGTAATGAATTGTACAGATAGAACTGATACTTGAATCACATCAAAGCTATCATTTACTATAATCTCAGAACCATGTTTATCAAGCACTTAAGGTGTTTTCTTTCCTATGAAATTATTCTAAATATACAAAACATGAAAATGGCACAATAAACACTCAAGTAACACTACCCAGATTTTAAAAACAACATTTTTGTTATATTTATCTCGGATTTTGGAAATTCAAAATAAGACATTTTAGAGATAGAGTTGAAGCTCTGTTTGTGTCCGTTTGTACCTCTTTCAGACTTATCTCCCCTCCAGCTCTCTCCAGAGGCAACAACCTGTTATATCCATGATGATTCGTGCAGCCATTTCATTTATGAATATTCTAAATTTACGGATTTTCCTTTTGGTGATTATTTAGATGATTATGAAGGTTTTTGGTAGTAAAACAATGCTGCTGTAAACATGTTGTACTTGATTTGTAGGTAAGATATGTTCAAGTTTCTATAGCATATATATGTAGAAATGAACTTTCTGGGTAATAGGGTCCCACCATCTTCACATTTGGTGGAAATTGACAAATTTCTTCTCAAGGTAGTTGTAAGAATTTATAACCTCACTAGGTTTTCTCTGACAGTGTACACCACACCTGTGCATACCCTTGGTATTGTCAGCCTTTAACATTCGGTCAATTTTAAGGGTGTGAAGCAGTAAGTCTTGTTTTAAGCCTTTTCACTTTTTAAAGGTCAGCTTTTGGGCACCTAGGACTCAGTTGAGCATCTGCCTTTGTCTCAGGTCATGATCCTGGGGTCCTGGGACTGAGTCCCGTGTCATGCTCCTTATGGAGAGCCTGCTTCTCCCACTGCCTATGTCTCTGCCTCTTTCTGTGTCTCTCATTAATAAATAAATAAAATCTTAAAAAAAAGTTTGGCTTTATTCAGATGTAATTTCCATGTCATACAAATAGCCCTTTAAAAAGTGTACGATTTAGTGGTTTTAGTTATTCTCACTTTTTATTGGTGTCCTTTTTTTAAAATTTTTTTTAAATTTTTATTTATGATAGTTACAGAGAGAGAGAGAGAGAGAGAGAGAGAGGCAGAGACACAGGCAGAGGGAGAAGCAGGCTCCATGCACCGCCAGCCCGACGTGAGATTTGATCCTGGGTCTCCAGGATCGCGCCCTGGGCCAAAGGCAGGCGCCAAACCGCTGCGCCACCCAGGGATCCCTGGTGTCCTTTTCCATAGAGGTTTTAAGGACTGACATAGTTATACTAATTGATTATCCCCCTTAATTGTTTATGCTTTTTGTATCTTATACAAGACTTCCTTCCTGCATATCATCATCCAAAAATTTATTCTCCTACGTTTCTTTTCTGCAACTAAAAAAATTTGTTTTTCACATTTAAGGTTTTAATACTCTTAAAATAGACTTTTAGACAAGGCGTGAGTTTAGAGTCTACATTATATTTTTCATATGGATATCCAATTGACCCCAAACTATTTGTTGAATAATTATTTCTTCCCCACTGATTTATATTGTTAGCTCAGGGATATATCAGATTTCCATATTTAGTTTCTAATATGTTTTAACTATCTTTTTGTCTTTACCAAGTCAAAGTCTTAATGACTTAATCATTACACTTTATAATGGTGTTTCTTTAACTAAGTTTTTATTTTAATTCCAGTACAGTTAACATACAGTGTTATATTGGTTTCCTGTATAATGATATTTCTTAGAGCAACAACATCCCGTACCTTTTTCATAAAAAAAAGGTTTGATTTCTTGGAAATTTGTCCCTTCAAATGAAATTTAACACTGGCCTATTAAATTCCACAGAAAACCTCCATGGAATTTGAAATTAATTTTATTGAAATTATAGATTAATCTGGAGAGAATTGACATCGTTCTTACAGAGGGTATTCTCAGCCATGAACATAGTCTAACAGGCAGCTTCCCTAATTTTTGTTCCTTTCTCCAACTTGAGAAGAATTTGCAAATAAGGCCATTTCTGTTTTCCTTTTTGAATCATTCATTTATTCATTCAGAAATATTTATTGAATGTCTCCTGTGTGTCATCTCATTAGCTACCCTGAATCTGTGTGAAAGCTCATTCAGACCTGCCTAGCAATTCCAATTCACTCCATCATCTCTTTTCAAACAAAACTACCCTTTTTTTGTTTGTTTTTTAATTTTTTTTTTAATTCCAGGTAGTAAACAGACAGTGTTATATTGGTTTCAGGTGTAAAATATAGTGATTCCACACTTCCATACAACACCCAGCGCTCGTCACAAGTCACAAGTACACTCCTTCATCCCCATCACCTGTTTCCCCCATCCCCCCCATTTCCCCCACTCTGGTGACCGTCAAGTTTGTTCTTTCAAGTTGAGTCTATTTCTCGGTTTGTCTCTCTTTCTCTTTTTTCCTTTGCTCATTTGTTTTGTTTCTTAAATTCCACATATGAATGAAATCATATGGTATTTGTCTTTCTCTGATTTATTTTGCTTAGCATAATACTATCTAGCTCCATCCATGTCATTGCAAATGGCAAGATTTTGTTCTTTTTTGTGGCTTAGCAATATTCCATATTATATATACAATATTACATATTATGTATAAGTGTATATAATCTATACTTAATATTATAATTATATAATTCTAATATATGTAAATATAGAATGTTTAACAAATTTGTGTGTCATCTTTGCATAGGGGCCGTGCTAATCATCTCTGTATTATTCCAATTTTAATATATATATATTGCCAAAGCACAAACAAAACTACATCTTATTTTATCCCCCTCCCTTTTTTTTAAAAAAAAGTTTATTTATTTAAGTAATCTCTCTATCCAGTGTGGGGCTTGAACTCATAACCCTGTGACCAAGAGCTGCATGTTTCCCTGACTGAGCCAGCCAGGTGCCCCAAAACTATATTTTATTTAATTAATTAATTAATTAATTTTTATTTATTTATTATAGTGAGAGAGAGAGAGAGAGAGAGAGAGAGAGAGAGAGGCAGAGACACAGGCAGAGGGAGAAGCAGGCTCCATGCACCGGGAGCCCGACGTGGGATTCGATCCCGGGTCTCCAGGATCGCGCCCTGGGCCAAAGGCAGGCGCCAAACCGCTGCGCCACCCAGGGATCCCCCCAAAACTATATTTTAACTGAACTGGATGTTAACCTAAAATGTGAATGACTAATAGGATTAAGCCCTCCTAATGTGTGTTTGCTCCACATAAATCCATCTCTGACGGGTACCTGGGGAATATTCTGAGCTAAGTAGATGTTTTTTATGTCTCTTACCTCTCGCGCGTCTGCTGGCATATAAAAGCAGGGACCCAGTTGTCACTCGATGTCCATCTCTGCAGGAGCTCCACGCTGAATGGAACTCCATTCCTGGGGAGAGAACCTCCACTGGCCCCACTCCGACTGCTCATCCCCAATGAGAGATGAACTCAGGGGGCTTCTGTGGCATGTGACAGAGATGAGGGGAGACTTTGGAGGGACTCAGATGAAGGCAAGCCTCGGGACCATGCTAAAGGAAGAAACTCAGGACAACCCATCAAAACAGGGAGGAAAGATAAATTAAAACAGTCACTGCTTCAGACATTGTGCATGTCTTGTTCCTGGAAGAACAAGAGGCCACAAGGCGATAACACTGCTCGCGTTTTATAAGAAACCACAGTCAAACTGCCCTGTGACTCTTTTAATATTTTGTAAACACTGTCTCTTCCTTCCACCATAATGTGCAAAAGGCATTTTGATCCTCTGCTGGTCAAAAAATTTAGGAAAACTTCCTCGTCTTTCTCAGGACTAACCTCAACTTTCAAAAACAGTCTTTAGTTTCTATCTTAAAAAGTCATGACATAGTTGGACACTCTGTGTTTCCTGTTAACCACTTGAGAGCATGTTTTCAACTTTCTCACGAATACTGACACATCATATAAAGACTTTTCCAGTATTGACATATCATTGTCTATTGCAACGATTAAGAAAAAAAATTAAAAAAGGAAGGTGGAAGTGTCTTTTTTTTCCACAATGAAATCACACTTGTACAGAGCTTGATACAGAAGATGGATATAACACACTTTAAGATGATAAGTATCTTGCACTCAGCCATAGAACATTTACATTTTATAAAAACCATTTTCTGGGTTTTCATTTTGCTTTTGTCATGATGGCTCATCTTGGCCTCTATTCTGAGTCTTTTCTTTTTTTAAAAGATTTTATTTATTTATTCATGGGATACATACACAGAGAGAGAGGCAGAGACATAGGCAGAGGGAGAAGCAGGCTTCCTGTGAGGAGCCCGATGTGGGACTTGATCCTAGGACCCCAGATCTCGCCCTGAGCCAAAGGCAAACATTTAACCAGTAAGCCACCCAGGTGCCCCTGTTCTGAATCTTAATGAACCTCTGAGTAAGAGGAAGTGCACAAGCTACAAGCCCTGCAGGATCCAGACCACTGGAAGAGCTTTTTGCAGCAGATACTCCGTTCACATTTATAGGTGTGAAATACAAATGCAGTAGCTTTTCTTTTTGCCAATGATAACAAGTTATTCAACCACCAGAGCAGGAAGTAAATATGGAGTTTTCTGTGGTGTTGATTTTTTATTCTCTTGTCTTCCCTTTTTCTTTCTGTCAACATCCTCCTCCCTCTTTTGGTGCAGATTAAAGGGTGACTATGACCTACAGTATGCTGGCTGGGTTGTCATGACACCACACAAATAAGTGGCCTCTTGGTCAGTGATGGACCAATGTTAGTGCTAAAACTTTAAGATGTATGGCCTTTCTACTTGGCCATTATGAGTGACCACTGGTGGTGATTGGCCTAAAGCCCCTTTGGACTAATATTTTGTGTCACCTGTAGTGCCAAACAATCACTCCCGTTCTTGGTACAGGTTTTTACATTTTTTTCTTTCTTTTTTTTTAAGATTTTAGTTATTCATTCATGAGAGACACAGAAAGAGGCAGAGACATAGGCAGAGGGGAGAAGCAGCCTCCTTGAGGGAAGCCTGATGTGGGTGGGGCTTATTCCAGGACGCCAGGATCATGACCTGAGCCAAAGGCAGACGCTCAACCACTGAACCATCCAGGTTCTCCAGTTTTTACATTTTCGAGGACTGTTTGAACCTGCTCAGTTTTCCAGTTTTCAGCAAATTATTCCTGAGTAGTTGGAATTCAGAATTCTTCAAAGTTAGCCCATAGAGACATTAAGTGGAAAAAATCCTACAGCTAATAGTGGAAATCCTGGACTCCTTTGAGCCCCAATTTTATTTTTAAATTTTTTTAAGTTTTAAAAAGATTTTATTTACTTTTGTGTGTGCATGCAAGAGACAGAAAGAGAGAGAGAGAAGAGAGTTAGAGAAAGAGAGAGAGAGAGAATGAGGTAGGGGAGGGGCAGAGGAAGAAACAACCTCCCTGCTGAACAGGCAGCAGAATGTGTGACTCATCCCAGGACCCCGGGATCATGACCTGAGCCAAAGGCAGACGCTTAACCGACTGAGACACCCAGGGGCCCTCGAGTCCCAATTTTTAAATAAATCAGTTCTATTATGGTATAGTTTATGAATAATAAAACGTGTTTACTAAAAGGTACATTTCAAAGATTTTGGAACATTGATAATCCCTATGGTTACCACCAAGAACAAAACACAGAACATTTCCATTGTGTCAAAAGGTTCCTGTGCCCTATCCTCGCACACCTTCCCCCATGCCTTGCCCAGGCAACAACTGGTCTGCTTTCTGTCTAATCTATAATAATTAGATTTGTCCTTTCTAGGGTTTCATAAAAACGGAATCACACAGTATGTACTCTTTTTGTCTGCCTTCTTTTCCTAATATAATGTTTTTGAGATTCATCTATGTTGTGTGTACCAGCTCTCATTCCAGCCTAGCTAAGTTGACTCTGCATAAATTATAAATTCACAACAACTAGTTGGTTTGATTTTTTTTATCCTTAAGATTACATTTTGATTATGCAGGATATACATAGGGCGAGCTCTGGGGAAGGTCTCAAACACAGAGCTTGATCTGCCGTCTGCCCATGGAGTCAGAGGACAGCATCCCCTTGGTGTATCAGTATTCAATGAGCCAGCCGAATGTGTTCACTGACCAGGAAGCACCACTGAGCTTCAATGTCCAGAGTTATGTTATGTAGACATGATTGATTACATCACTGGCCAAACGACTGAACTTAATCTCCAGCCCCCCTCTCTTCCCTGGATTTCTGGCAGCTGAAAGCCTCAAACTTCCAATCATACGCTTGGTCTTTCTATGGACCACCCCATCCTGGAACTATCTAGGGGCCCACCATAAGCCACTTTACTAGCCTAACCAAGGCACTTTTAAAAAAAGATTTTATTTTATTTATGAGAGAGAGAGAGACAGAGACAGAGAGAGACAGAGACATAGGCAGAGGGAGAAGCAGACTCCATGCAGGGAGCCTGATGTTGGACTCGATCCCGGACCGCAGGATCACACCCTGAACCAAAAGCAAAGGCTCAACCTCTGGGCCACGCAGGCATCCCAAGGCACTCTTTTTTTTACTCAGGAAATTCCAAGAATTTCTGAAGCTCTGCGTCAGGAACCAAGGACAAAACCCATATATCTTCTTCATTGCACCACACCTCCCCACACTCATGCTCCTGTGTCTCTCTCTGACTTATTTCACTTAGCATAATGCTTTCAAGTCCCATCCATCTTGTCACAAATGGCAGCATTTCCTTCTTTCTCATGGCTGAATAATATTTCATTGTATATCCATACAACACCTTCTTGACCCATCCATCTGTTCATGGACACTTAGGTTGTTTCCTTATCTTGGCTACTGTGAATAATGCTGCGATTTTCATGGGTGTGCAGACATCTTTTTGAAATCCTGTTTTCAATTCCCTTGGGTATATACCCAAAAGTGGAATTGCTGGGTCATATAGCACTTCTATTTTTTAAGTTTTTGATGGAACTCTAAACTGTTTTCTATGGTAGATGCACCAGTTTGCATTCCAACCAGCAGCCTAGGAGGGTGCCCTTTTCTCACTGGCACTTGTCTTTTGTTATTGTTTTTTTGATAATATCCATCCTAACATCTCCCATTCTGGAGGTTGCCTTTTTACTCTGTGTTTTATTTTGTTTTAACTGCAGACAACTCAATTGAATACTGTAAGGGAATACCAGGAATCTCATATACCAGCAAACACAGCACATTAAAAGACTTTGCCTTGAATGGAGTCTGCTCACTCCATTGGACACTAGCCATCCTCTTTGACCGGGTTCAAATTGTACAAAGTCAAACATGCAAGTGTGGAAATCATATTTAGACTTAAAGCCAATCACATCCGCAGGAGGAGAAGCCTACTTATATGAGTCTCAGTGTAAAGTTACAAGAATAAACACATGATAATTTTGAAATAATCTTAACAGCTAACATGCAGTGATGGCTTACTTGTGGCATAATCCTATTAAATACATTGCATTACATGGGTAAGGGAGATTGGAATGTTGAGTGGATTTATCATTTCAGGCCTGATCACCCACAATGGGAGGTCCCAATACATACCTTTCGCCAGTACTGTGAGAAATAAATTTGTGAAAGAAGTGTTGGCATCCTTGAAGAACTTTGTAATTACTGTTCTCTGCAGACCACAACTTACAGTGAGAACTGCAGTCTCTGAACGGGGAAACCTAAATGCAGCAGGAGTCATTGGATCCAAGGTGGCAAGGCCAATTCCAAGATTGAAGAGAGGAGACATCATTTCAGGTCCACTTATGTTAACA